GATTCTGTTAACACTTACTGTGTGACCTTTTGTACAGACGCTTAATGACTGAGCCACCCAGGCGCCCTAGTGTTTCCTTTTTAGAAGACCATGGACAAATGAGAGCAGAGACCAGTGACCAGGAGTCATCTAGTCATTAATTTATTAACAAATATTTTTCTCATTTCCAGTGTGCCAGACACTGTGCTAGGTGCTACAGAAATTTGAGGAAACAAGATAGGGAAAAACTTACACTTCTTTTAGGATGGTGAAGAAAGAGGCACCTGGGCGGCTCAGTCATTAAGCGTCTGCCTTCCGCTCGGGTTATGATCCCAGCGTCCTGGGATCGAGCCCCATATTGGGCTCCCTGCTCGGCGGGAAGCCTGCTTCTCCCTCTCCCACTCCCCCTGCTTGTGTTCCCTCTCTTGCTGTCTCTCTCTATATCAAATAAATAGATAAAATCTTTAAAAAAAAAAGGATGGTGAAGAAATTGATAAAATGATAGCTACTTCTGACATCTGAAGGGAAAAGGGTCCAATTTTTTATATATGGCCCCCAAAATAAAACTGAGGTCAACTGTTTTATGAAGAAGGGCCCAATTTTTTACATATGGCCCCCCAAATAAAACTGAGGTCAACAGCAAGGCATATGTGAACCATTGCAAGGAATAATTGTACAAATATGAACTACTCTTTTCAAGGTAGTGAGTTCCCCATCCCTAGGGCTGTCAGGCCACTTGATAGGTGCGGTATATAAGGAAAAAAGTATTACTCTTATATTAGAAAAAGAGACACTGGAGTTCTGGTTGAGCTGGATACAATTTAATATACCTTCAAGCCTTGAGATTACATGATTCTATAACATTAGCTAGCATATGTAAAGTCAAGAAGGCCAAACAACTTAATAATACATAACAGAATGATAACCCCATGTAAATAAAAAATAAAAACCAGTGATTATAACTGTACAGTTTTATTCAGCTTGGTTCCTCTCCAGGACCCTCTGTGTCAATCGTCTAACAATACTCAGGTGGTGAGAAACAGTGACATGTTTTCAGGAGGGGAAACCAAATTGCTCCCGTTTTTCAATATAGAGGTCACCAGGTGGATGTCCTTTCACTGACTCTGGGAGAAACTAAGGCATATAAAAATGGAACCATGACCTTTAGAAGACCATCTAAAGCAGTATCTGTATTTTGGGTGGTTGAGCTGCCAAACAAAGCTTCCAGAAGATGTTGGTCATTTCTGTCCCTTCGTACCGGAACTCCTGAGTCCAGCTCTCTCCCAAAGAGATCCTACTTTGCACATCTGGAAGTCGATTCTTGCCATTTTCCAGGATAGGAAATAGTCTCATATTGTAGCTGATGCAGATAAAACTCCCCCTTCTTCCACTGACCTATGACTTATTGGATTATTGTCTCATTTGAGTCCTATGGTTTTGCCTGCAAGTTTTTTGAGAGCTGCTTGCTTCCCAAGCTCGTGACTGTTGTGTTTGGGTTATACTTCATTGCACAGGGCTTGCCAAGGAAAGGTAGTTTGCAGAAGAACAAAATGTTCTCTAGTGTATGTGTGTGTTTCCCCCACCTTGAAGGTGAAGCCTGTGCCGTGCTACACTTCACAGAACAAAACTGGCCAAGAAGAGGGCAGGGCCGTAACTGGGCTGGGGGACGAATAGTAGCGTGGTTGAGAGCATCGGCCCTAGCAACAGACTGCCTACAGATTTGCTCCCTGATTCTGTTAACACTTACTGTGTGACCTTTTGTACAGACGCTTAATGACTGAGCCACCCAGGCGCCCCAAGATTTCTTCTTTTATCATGTCCTTTCTGTTTAGAGAACTTCTCACCATTCTTTTAAGGTAGGTCTGCTGGTGACAAATTCTTTGTTCTTTCCCTTCCATTCCTGGAAGATAAACTCATCATACATTGAAATCAAGATCGACAG